TTAATTAATAAGAGGTATGTTATTATTGGCAAGAATGACAGTTACCTAACCCCTACAGCAATATTCTATCTACTCTAGAGCAAGCAAGAGCATATTACAAGAGAGATATAGGTGACAAATTAGTTTCCTAGCTAAAAATGATTGTGAGACACTGAATAATGTTAGTCTTCTTGAGTTGTAAAAGCAAAAAAAAAAATTGTAAGAACCTTTGGGATAAGTGACTCAGATGTGCTCCTTAAAAGTTTTCAAATTTTCAGATTGTACTCTAATGCTAAAATTCAGTATTTGTATCTTTTCTCCTCTCGCTAGCATTTTTAATTAGTTTGTTTTGCAGCTAGCAAAAATATATATCAATATGTTTTTTGGATAAATGACCTTTTTAACATACTATTTTTTCTCTAGTAATGATTCCACTATGCTACAGGATTCCTTTATTCTTTGTGAATAGAATACACTGTGATTTTATTTATTTTTAAAAGATGTTTCTATTGATTCTTTAGAGAGAGGAAAGGAGAGGAAGAAAAAGAAACATCAGTGTGAGAGAGAAACTTCTATCAGCTGCCTCCTATACGTCCCCTTATGGAGTACAGGGGATGATACTCAACCAACTGAGCCACACTGACCAGGGCTAGAATAAGTTGTGCTTTTAAGTAAAAGCACATTTTGAACAAAGTAAAAGCAGGTTAAGAATTAGAGCAGTGTGTTTTGAATATAGTTGGAGATGAGGCACCTGATGTTCTTAGAAAACAGGAAGTTGTTGAAAAAACAACTTTTTTGGGAATGTGGAAGGATAGCTAGATAAAGAATTCAAGCAAAATTGAAGTTCAAAGTATAATCTCTGGTTGACATTCTACCAAATTTCTCACATGTGAAGACCCATGTTTAACCTGAAGTGCCTCCTGAAAAGTCTACTGAAAGGCCTGAAACATGTCTGTTGATTCTGATTCTGAGGGTTGTTTGTTTTTTGTTTGTTTGTTTGTTTGTTTTGTTTTTTCCTGTTGGCTGAGAGGCAAACATTTATTATTATTTACTAACTCTCTTTGGCCATATTCGAACTTTGGATGACATGGTAGCATCATCAAATCTCACATAATGACACCATTAAATATGGGGTATGGCTTTGGTACAAAATTCTGGCATAGCTGCTGTATATTTTGATTTTATAGATGCCCTTAAGGGCCTGTGTGAGGATTTTATAGCACAAGTCAGTTTTGGACAGCAGTGCCCAGTGGCTAAGGAATAAAGAGTGTATTCAAAGATTTCTCAGCCCAGTCAGAATATTGGCCTTTCTCAAATTGTGTTTTATCATACAATAGTATTCAGCCCCAGGGAAGACCCATTTCTACTTTTAACTATGGAGCACCTGCCACTGGTAAATGAGGTAGTTTCTGGAGGCATCATGGACTCTTTCCTTTGACTGAAGACAGAATCGTCTCCATGTGTTTCACAGTGATCCTCACACTAAGCAAGTTCCTACAGTTAGTGCCTCCCTTCAAAGACTAAGCGGTATTGTATAATATAAAGCCCATAATGCATGTTCATGAAAAGCCCATTAAGTATTGTTGTTGCTCTGACTTATTCCTAGAGAAATTCACCCCTGTTATAAATCAGAAAGCCCAAAGAATAGATTCATGTTCTCCTCACTGTGATTTTCTGACTAATATTCATCCCAGGTAGCTTTTTGTATAAGGGTGAGTTGACTTTCAAACTTAATTTAAGAATTTTTGAAATTTAATTAGGCACTTAATAGAGAGAGTTGCTTTAATATCCTCCATTTGAGAATGCTTATAACCATGACTTTTCTTTGTATCTTTATTAATTATTATTATTGCTATTCTAATCTAGGGTTAATGACACATGCCAAGCATTTGGCAAAGTACTTAAGATACAAACAAGACAAACACAGTTCTACTATGTTTCCCAGAAAATAAGACATCCTCCGAAAATAAGACCTAGCGCATGGAAAAATAAGACATCCCCTGAAAATAAGACCTAGCGCATCTTTGGGAGCAAAAATTAATATAAGACACTGTCTTATTTTCGGGGAAACAGGGTAGTTCTTAGTCTCACAAAACACGGAAAAGATGCAGGTTTCTTATACATGGAACAAGCAGATGCATATTTCTATTTTGTCTTAAAATCTATTAACTAGACCTCCATATACACATATGGTATATTTTTGCATGTTTATATGTTCAGAAGCTATTTATACCATATTGCATAGCTCTGGTTTGCTTATAAGTCTGTGATAATTCTACATTTTTTTATGTGTACAGACACATCTACAGACACTACCAAAGAACCACTGGTCAAATGAGTTATCACTGTAACTACTCACTAGCAGGTAGTAATAACAGAAGTTACAGAACATCTAGTGAATTACAGATTCTTTCTACATTTAGCATTTCACAACAAATTATGATGACAAGCATCTAATTCAGATTTTTCAGGGTAACCAAGTGTTGGAGAATACAAGGTACTTGTCCCAGGTCACTCTTGTATGATCAAGATTCCAAATGGATTACTTTGGCTAGAGAGTTTCTGCTTGAATCCAATAGGAGACACAAATGCCCCATAAGCATCAACTAGTACACATTTATATATTTTCCAGCGTTATGAAGCATATTACCGCATTAAAGATGCAAAGCACTGGAGTAAATATGGGTGTTATTGATGTGAGAAGAACACTTTCTTCTACTTTATTCTTCAAACATGAGTGGAAACTCACTGCTCCTCTGATATCATTAATCGATATCTTTTTCTTGTTCAAAACACTGGTTCACAGATGTTAACTGCCATGAATATGTACAGCAGAAAGTGTGAACCCCAACCTGTAGTAGTGACTGCAAATTTCACTGAGTTACACCGTCAGGCATCTGTTTATGGCTTCCTTCCCTTTTTGTCACAATAGTCCCCCTATCTGTGGGGATGAGTTCCAAGACCCTCAGCAGATGCCTGAAACCATTGACAGTACTGAACCCTATAGATTCTGGGAGTTTTCCCCTGTACGTATATACCTTTCCCTTAAAGGAAGCACTTCCAGCTTCTCTTGGGCATGTCTGAGTTACGTGACTACTTTGGGATCATTCTGGAGTAAAGGAAGGGGGACTGAACACAAGACAAGCACCACGATACCTTGACAGCCCATCTGCTAACCAAGATGGCAACTAAGTGACTCACAGGTGGGAAGCATCTCCAGTGAGGAGACACCGAACAAAGGGGGGATTCACATCCTGGGCAGGGCGGAGCAGAACAGCATGAGGTTGCATTCTGCTGAGAACATCATGCAGTTTAAAACTTATAGATAGTTTATGTCTGGGACTCTGCACTTAGTTTTCAGGCACAGTTGAATGCAGGAAACTAAAACGACAGAAAATGAAGCCATAGATTGGGGTCACTGCTTTTTTTTTCATCCTACAACGGAGGAGTTGGACTCTCACACCTAAAAGGCATTCCACAGATTCAGTCTACTTGGTTTACTTGTCTAAGTTCTGTCCAAGGCCTTTTCATGGAAAAGGTCTAGCCATAGACTTTGTCTGCCCGCATCTTATTTCTCTGTTCCCAAAGCATAGTCGAGTGCCTCTCAGACTAGCCTGGCAAAGTTGGTCACATTCAACATCAATTTCTGCTCTTAGTTATCTTTAGCAGATATAATTTTTTTAAAATGTCTTTTGTTAATCCTCATCCATGGATATTTTTTCCATTTATTTTTAGAGTAGGAGGCATGGAAAGAGGGAGGGGGGAGGAAGGAAGGAAGGAAAGGAGGGAGAGTGGGGGGAGGGAGGGAGGAGGGAAGGAGGAAGAAACATCGATGTAAGAGAGATAAATATATTGGTTGACTCCCACATGCATCCCAACTGGGGCCTGGGGCCCAAACCTGCAACCCAGATATGTCCCTTGACTGGGCATCAAACCTGCCACCCTTTGTTATACAGGCCAATGCTTTAACCACTGATCCACAGCAGCCAGGGCACCAGATATAAATTTTTAAAGGACCTATTATATGTCATTACTCTTTTATATTCTTTATATAAATTATTACATCAGTTCTTACATAAACACTGTTATGCAATTATTATTGTTATTAATAATACCCCCCCCATTTTTATAGACAAAAAAACTAAGGTTGCTTAGGAGATGTTAACCATCTTGATGTGAATCAGTCAGTGAGGCCAAATTAGAATTCAGACCTGTGTGTGTTGTGTTCTGAGACTTGTGTATGTGTTTTTTCATGACCTTATGCTGCCTCCTTGTTCAGAAAACATATGTTGATAAATCGTTTAGGACTGTATGCTGTTAGGCTCCTTCTGCAGAAAGATTATGGAAGAATGATGACAGAGAAACAAAGACATTAAAGGGACATATTCTTTTCTCTATGATAAAATAATAAAAGAACCAACTGTTCTAAATAAATAACTCTGCCAGCCCATAGGAGAAAGCTCTCTAACAGGTCATATAAGATCACTCAGGCAGGACAGGGCAATTCAGGTGATAAATAGAAGGCTGATTGTGGCTTGTATTAAAGCACTTGCAAACTACTATTCTATGTACAGAAAGCTCAAAAATGATGGATCAAAGCCAAAATTTATTGGAGATTAGATTTAAGGGCATATAGAAAGGGAAGAGAAACCAGATGAATGGAAGAATGTTTATGTGATGCTAAAATAAGAGTCCTAGGCCTTCCCCATCCTCCCAAAAAACACAACATTCTGCAGCATGGGAACTGCCTGTCAAACACTCACAGGTGATTTTGTACATGTAGGTCATGGACCACACACTGGGAAAATACTGATTTGGTCCAGTCTCTTTATTTTACAAATCAGCACGAGGTTCTAAGGTAAATGGTTTTTCAAAGTTTGCTGTACTCTCTTTTCATTAGAGTTTTGGCTAAATCGGTCTCCTACAGGCCCAGTTCTGTCCTCTTTGACACTTGGATTTAATTTTTTCAATTCCAGCCATGGACCAGCTAATAGCATGTATCCTTGCTCTTTCTCTTCCAGAATCACAACCACAGCTGCCTGCATGATGGACCTAAGGCGGTACCCGCTAGATGAACAAAACTGCACCTTGGAAATTGAAAGCTGTAAGTTTTTCTGAGAATCCAGCTAGACTGAACTCTGCTTAGGGGTTCTCCCGACCACAGACCTGCAGAGGTTCTGCTAGCACACTAAATGTGATGGAGGGAGCTACTCCTAGTACCTGCCCTCCGACTGCTGCAATCCTCTCAGTCTTGTCCCTGATCCCTGGGAGAGGTGTGAAGGGGAGAAATAATCTAGCAATAAAAGGAAGATGCTAAGAACCTGGAAGAAAACCAAGGGCTATTCTAGTCATTTAATGCACAGCATTTGGAACAAATAGCTACACCAGGCTTGGGACAGTAGGTAAAGGTAGCAGGCGGACTCAAGGTATCTGAATAATTTTTGTCTCTCATAAGTATTATCACTTTTCAATTGCAAAATAAATGTGACCTTCTGGAATAGCTGAAACTTTCATAGAATGTGGATTAGTGAGATGTTGTTGCTTTTCTCCCAGGGACTGTTTTCAGTGTCGAAATTTATCTTACATTCTCGCTGAAGGCCATCTGATGAGCAAGATGAGAGTATGTGTGGTTCTTCTTAACTGCGCTGACCTGCTTTGCAGTATTGTTGCATTTCTAGGCCTTAGTGTGTGTCCTTGAGGATTCAGTCACCTGCCCTGTTGAGCAGAATGTTGATGTCACAGCCCAGCTCCAATGCAGAGGTCACTCAGGGAGGTCGTTTGCAGTGGAATAGGATTTTGAATCTCTTTTCTCTGTCGGTTCTTTGTACAGTGTTCATGCCTCATCCCACCAAACTATTGGAAGCTGACAATTTTCTATCCAGCGCTCTAGATAATGAGCAAGCAGCCTGCTATGCGGGTACTCTCAGTCTTCGTCAGGAGCTCTTGCGGTGACAGGCAGCGTGACTCTCCATCTCTTCTCTGAGCAGAAATCCAATATTTAGGACGTAGCGTGGGCATTTTTGCCCATTTCAAAAAATAACTTCCAGGGATTATTCCATTTATACACATTTTTTTAAGAACCCAATTTCATATTTGTATTTCCAAATCATCATTCTAATTATTCATTTTATAACTGAAAGTTGGTGCCCTTTAACCTCCTTCACCCATCTGACCCAGTCCCCACACTTGGCAACCATCAGTTTACACAGTTACTATCAGGTCAGTTTTCTTTTTTAGATTTCATTTAAGTGATAACAAATGGTATTGGACTTTTTTTGCATGACTTATTTCATTTAGCTTAATAACCTCAAATTATCCATGTTATTACAAATGGCAAGATTTCCTTTGGTTTATGGCAGAATAATATTCCACTTAATATATCTATAAAAAAATAAAAGTGTAATATGTTAATTAGATTGGATAGCCAAATGACCTTCCAGATGAAGCTGCGCCTGTGAGGGCTGAACCCCTTGCACCAATTTCATGCATCAGGCTTTTAGTGTATATAAAGATATATTCATTCATCAATAGACAATTAGGTTGTTTCCATGCCTTGACTATCCTATATAATAAAAGCCTAATATGCAAATTGACTGACAAGTGGAACAACTGGTTGCTATGATGCGCACTGTCCATCTGGGGTCAGATGCTCAAACAGGGAGCTGCCACCAGCCTGCAGGCCCCAAGCCAGCCAAGGTGGGTACCAGCAGGGATGCCCCGAATGCCCTGCTGGTCACCCCACAGATCAGCCCTGATCACTGGCCAGGTCTAGGGACCCTACCCATGCACAGATTTTGTGCACCGTGCCTCTTGTTATAAATAATGCTGTGGTGAACACAGTGGTACAGATATCTCTTTGAGAATAATTTTATTTCCTTCACATATGTACCCAGAAATAAGATTGCTTGGTCATATAGTAATTCTATTTTTTCCCTTCAATAATATTCCATAAGTCTCATCTTATTTTTATTTTATTTTTTTAGTTTATCTTTATTGCTGAAAATTTTACAGATGTCCCCTTTTTTACCTCATTGATATCCCCACACACACACACTCTGCTGCACTCAACCCCTCCAGGCCTTCACCACACTATTGTCTGTATCCATTGCTTATGCATATATGCATATCAGTTCTTTGGTTACTCTCCCCTCCCACCTACCCACCTGCCCTCACCTTCCCTCTGAGACTCCTCAGTCTGTTCCATGCTTCTGTCTCTGGATGTATTTGTTGATCAGTTTATTTTGTTCATTAGATTCCACATATTAATGAGATCATGTGATACTTGTCTTTCTCTGACTGGCTTATTTAACTTAGCATAATACTCTCTAGGTCCCTTCATGTAGTTCTATTTTTTATTTTGAGAATCCTTCATAATAACTGTACCAACTTACATTCCCACCAACATTGCAAAATATTCCTTTTTTTCCACACTCTTACCAATATTTGTTACCTCCTGTCTTTTTTATCCTACAAGTGTGAGTGATATCTCATCATGGCTTATGTTTGCATTTCCATGATGATTAGTGATGTTGAGCATCTTTTCCTGTACTTGTTGGCCATTTGTATGTCTCCTTTGGAAAAACACTCATCAGTTTATCTGCTTATTTTTAAATTGGGTTATTTGTGTGTGTTTTGTTTTGTTTGTTTGTTTGTATTTGTTTTTTGCTTGTTTGTTTTTTGCTATTGGGTTATATGAGTTCATTATATATTTTGAATATTTGCTGTTTATGAGGTACATTTTTTTGCAAATATTTTTCTGCTATTTCATATGTTGATTCTTCATTCTGATAATGGCTTCTTTTGCCTTATGGAAACTTTTGAGTCTGATATACCCCTGCTTGTTTATTTTGCTTACTTGTGTTTTGGGTGTTACATCCAAAATATCATTGCCAAGACCAATGTTTTCTTCAGGAGTTTTACAGTTTCAGATTTTACATTGGAATCTTTAATTCCTTTAAAGTCCATTTTTTTTGAGTGGTTTAAAATAGGTTTCTAATATAATTATTTTGCATGCGAATATCCAGTTTTCCCAGTACCATTTATTGAGAAGACTAACTTTTCTCCATTGACTATTCTTGGCTCCCTTTTCAAATATTAGTTGGCCATGTATGCGAGGGTTTATTTCTGAGCTCTCAGTTCTGTTTCATTGGTTTATATGTCTGAATTTTTAAGAATTTTCTTTTTGTGGCTTAACATATGGCTGCTTCTAGAAAGTGTTCCATGTGTGCTTGAGAAGAATGTTTATTCTATTGCTGTGGGATAGAATGTTCTGTATATGTCTGTTAGATCTGTTTGCTCTATGGCAGTGATTTTTATTTTTTCTCTCCGTTTTTTTATTAAGGTTTTATATGTGTACATATCTTACCATTGAATAGCAGTGATTTTTAACCAGTGTGCCATGGCTGAGCACTATTTAGTCAGGGTATTAACTTCTTTCCCTTAGATTATCAAATAAAATAATGACAACAACTAATATAACAATAGCAATTTGGTGTGAATTGCTCAAAATTATACCTTTATTTTTGTCAGATCAGCAAAAAATAATATTTTTTGGTGTACCACAGAATTTTAGTAATTAGCTTATGTGTGCCAGGAGATGAAAAGGGTTGAAAATCTCTGGCCTATAGTGTTGTTCAAATCTGCTATTTCCTATTGATTCTCTGTCCGAATGATTTATCAATTGTTGGTAGTGGAGTATTAAAGTTCCTAACTATTATTGTATTGCTGTTTATTTCTCCTTCTAGTTCAGTTAGTATTTTCTTTATACATTTAGGTGTTCCAGTATGGGTGCATAAATATTTATGATTGTTATATCTTCTTGATGAATTTACCCCTCTATTACTCTAAATTACCTTTTTTGTCTCCTATAAGCATTTATAGCTTAAAGTCTATAGGGTAGATATTAATATTCCTGTCTTTATAGGGAAACAGACACAAAAGGTGAAGTGGATATGTCTAAAAACATGCAACCACTGAGTAGCACAGTACTCTGAGCTAATACGGGGATTGATAGCTAATTTATCTTAGTAAAGCCACTGATTTCGGAAAGATCAGATTAACAGGAAGATCGCTGTTCTAAAAATCAGGAAAATAGACTGTACTTATAAAAAATGGGGCTTATTCATATTTATTTAAACAGCAAATCAGTGTTGTGGAGAATTAGATATGGTATATTAATAATAGATTAATAATTAGTATTAATATTATATTAATAATATATGTGATATCCAGGCCCTGTTATTGTAAGCAGGTAGTAAACTAAGCATATGGAAATTAGGATCTGATCCTTTAAACAACCAGCTCTGAGGTTGATCCCTGATATTCTACCTTACTCATTTATTCTTTTCTGTTAAGTAAACTCTAAGAATTCATTCATTCTCTTTCTTCCGCCACCTCCTCTCCTCTCCCTTTTTCTCCTCATGTCTACTTATTTCTCTGCTTTGCTCCCCCTTTCCCTCCCTTTCTTTCTCCTCTTAAATACATTTGAACTTAATAGTGGCATTACTAAATCCTTATCACCTTGTCTCCTTATCAACAATTTGTGTATTGGTTTCATTTTAGAGAGGATAATATAACCTGATTCAGAACAGCTTGGAATGGGGAAATATTGACCTGAGCTCATTGTTTGTTTATTCATGCATTGGCTCATTCAAGAATTTACTCATTCATTAAATATTTATTGAGCTCTAGTTATTTACAAGACATTGTAATAAGCTCTAAAAATATAATAGTGAACAAATGTAGACGATGGCCCTGCCTTTATTATGCTGAGGCAGATAGGTTTTATTTAAACAGACACACATAAGAATGTAAAATCCCATTAGTGAAAGTACTGCCAAGATGAGAATTTAGTTTAGTAAGATCTTAAAGAAAGACTAGAGTAAATCTTGAAATAAAGTGCTGATGATTCTAGAAAGGCAGAGAACTGTGCTTACTTCAAAACTTCTTAGGCCCAGCTGGCATGCCTCAGGGGTTGAGCTTCGACCTATAAACCAGAAGGTCACATTTTGATTTCAGGTCAGGGCCCATGCCTTGGTTTTGGGCTGGATCTCCATTGTGGAGCGTGCAGGAAGCAGCCGATCAATGATTCTTTCATCATTGATG